GAAACCAAAACTCATATGAGCAAGAATGTATAATGTTAGATTTGTGAATTAGAAGAACTGTGAATAAGACTTATGTGTAACCATTGATTTGTTAGTAATATTTGTGTTTCGATATTAACGAGATAAAGTGTACAGTTAAAGTTTAAGCAGCGTCCTATCTTCTAAGTCAATCAACAGAATCGAAAAAAGAAACAACTCTTTTTTCATTTGAAAGTAGGACAGGATTCTAGTTTGAACTACTTAATTTTTTTCCAACCCAGTTGCATTACAGAAATGGACGTGCATTTCTTTTGTTCGCATTCTATATTCTTTGAGTCTTTATTAATTTTTCATGTGCATGACACAATATGAAAATAAATACCTTGATAGGATGACACTGAATATACAAATATAGAAAATATTAGAACAACATATATTAAAATATCGTGAGCAATAAAATAGACATGAGATACAATTAAACAACTGAGAATGAATTTTTTTATAGTTATTCACAAGCTTTTGTAATGATATATCTGTTCAATGCTAGATAACAATCGTATAAGACATATTTATTCTATCACCCATCAGTTCTTTTATGGATGTATAGATTTGTTGATGTTATAAGAATATCTGTAAAGATCTGAGTATGATTTTTGTATCGTTGTTCTAATCATGGAAACTTTTGTCATACTGTTGAAATTCCTCATATCAAACAGACAACTTCATTTGAGAAAAGCATTAGAGTTGTGTTAAGCAATCCTATATACTTTTCTTTTATTCAATGAAAAACAAATGACATTTGTTCGATATAGTCGAATCACTTTCATCATTATCGATAATAGTCTTTGTTTTTCTGAATGATCCATGTTAAAAATTCCAGACAGTTTTTTTTTGTAAGGTGGATCTACAACGGGATCCATCTACTTTTATGCTTTGTCTGGAGATATAGCATGCTTCAGAAATGCATGAAATCTTCACCAAAATTAAATAAAATAGAAAACTCGTTTGTTTTTCACGTTCAAATTCTATCTCCTCATCTAAGAAAAACACAAGTGTAGAAATCATGAGTGAGTTTTTTTCAAACATCCAAATGTCTCTCTGATTGACAGACATTGATTGTTGTGATATCGAAGTATCCATGTATATTCAATGTATGATCACAATTTCCATCAGCGATTTTGCTGTCAATATGTCATTGGTTTGAACTATGTTACCTTACGACAAAGTCTTAACACATACAATTTGATAAAACAGGTCGAGTAATACCTCAAGTTATAACTATCAACCACTTTAACTCGATTAACTTTATGATCGATTATAAGCTTTGAAATTTGAGCAGCTAAGAATAGTATTTAAAAAATTGAAATAACTGTATTCTACTTCTTATTCTTTAAAATCGTAACTATTTCCAATATACATATGTTGTGAAGAAATTTAGATAACGCTTTCTTGAAGAATAATCATGTATTTTATTTAAAAATGAAATAACTATATCAAGTTATTCTTTTATGTCTGTCATTACTTCTATCAATACATCGATTCTTCTGATGTATTCGTTGATGTCCTTGTTGTTTCCTTACAAGTTAGACATCAACAGAAAAATGCTTTCTGCATTTTTCAGAAGGATAAAGTGGAACGGTGGTTCGCTGGTGCTTACTATGTCTGTACTTTATTTAGGGCATGGATATGACCAATAGTTTTAATTAATCTCAACTGATGTAAATATTTGTTGATTAATTTCGATCATAATCTAAATTAATGAGAAAAACGAACGAAATTTTTCACTTTGATTATTATCAATTACGAAATGATTATAATGCTGAAAGTCTTTTTGCCGCTAGTGACTATAATCGAACGATTTTGAAGTAAGATTCAATACAACAAACTATTGCCGAAAGTTATAACTAGAGTTGAAAGTTATAACTATTACCGCATTCGAACGATTTACTCTATTATGAAACTTTCAAAGACAAAATTTTAATTCAAAGTTGAACACATTTGATAAATGTATGTTCAATAAAATGTTTGTGTTTTGTCCGCTTTGGTCATAGACCTACACATAAAAGACACTACTCAGAGAATAATCTATTAATACTAAGTTATTAAAGCAAAGAACAAGGAAATATCTATAACTTAATTTATTCCTTGATAAAACATGTCAATTAAATCGAATTAATAACTATATCAACCTAATTAAATTTACTGAAAAATTCAAAACGTTAATTGAGTTAACATGCTTAATAGTTATAGGTACCCATGATCATTATAACTTGGATTGGAAGTTATAACTGTTGTTAACACTTATAATCTGAATTATAATCATTTTAAGTTAAGGTAGTTTCCCTGAACTATTAACGTTTTAAAAGACAGTTTTAACTCTCCCACTGACTGCAATAGAGAATTGAATAGTATTTTTTCAATTATGTACCAAATAAAGCATACCAAAAAAAATTTTACTTTCAAACATATCAGTGACAATATTTTGTCTGTGTACAATGAACATAGTTTTAAATTCAGTATAATTTCTATCGCGAAAAATGCAACCAGATTAGCATACTCGATAGTAATAGTTCGCTATTTACGACCATGTGGTGAACAAAAATACAACACAGTGCACTTACAAATTGTGTGACAAGCATTAGTTTTTATTATTATTCAAGGATGTTGCTCTGGCAGGCTAGTGATATCACCAGCCCGCACGTTTTTGTCATCGCGACATATATTCGATCAGAGTTGATCATTTACCTCTTGGTATGCTGATTTTAAAAGAAATAATAAATCAACTATCGTGTAGTATATATAAGATTGACATCGTTTTTACAGTATGGTCTTTAACTTTTTTAACAGAAGCTGGCTTTTCCTGATTTTACATGTTGAAAGTTGATCTGAAAGACTGTGGCATGATCGTTATGCATTTCTAGTAAGGCTATTATATATTTTGAAGTTTTCTAAAACGATGCATTTACAAGTTGACTTTCGGGTACAAATATACCCTGAAACTGAGACTATCGAATGCACTTCGAAGCACTTCCGATTCTTTCTAAACTTATATGCAAAGAAGCTTTGTTTCACATACGTGTCTCATCGAGTTCAAAGGATAAGTTAGCATATTCATATGATCAATATATGGTTGAGGAAATACCGAAATATACCTGAAGTATAAGTGAAATTTGGTATCAAAGTACTAGCCAATGAAAGTTCTCACATTCTATACATGATTATGCGGGATTCAGTGTGAAAAAGTCCTATGGACCACCAAATCACGTTCGTATGCGCCCCTCTCCTTTATTATCTATTTCTTCTTCGTAGAGTTTCCAAGCCATTCAAAATTTCAAAATGACTACATGATAACCATTTTGTATTTTCTTTCTCATTTTTCATTTTTATTTTTCTTCATCATCCATTCGTCACAAGTCAACATTCTTGTCTCTGTTCTTCAAGATCCTTTTTGTCTTTAGAATAATCTGCCAATATTCTTTTTCTATATTGCATGTCATTTTCTTGATATTCTAATCAGATTCTCATACTATTTTATTTTTACTTAGTACGTATTTGTTATAGCTAAATTTTTAACATTAACTTGATTTTGGTTTAGTAGTTTTCACAACAAAAACAAAAAGAAAAAAATTCGTTATACCATATCATGTTTAGTTTTTATAACTTAGACAAATAACAACAAATAAGCACTGATAGAAATCACAGCATCACAAAAAGAGAACAAGTACAGTCGTCATGAGAATAACAGCTTTCATTGAGAAATTAAAAAAAACGTTGCGAAAAAAATTCTCTATTCGAATTCGATATCATCACTCATTGTTGTTATTCGTGTTCATCATGATCATAAAACTAATTATCAACGAAAATTTGACGAGTTACTGTTTATGTTCATCTGAGAAACTAAATAAACTATAAAAAGATACTTTTATAGGATATTAAAATAATAACTTTACTTTAATTTTCAAAATATAAGCATCGTACCTTGTGATAGTTCTCATGCATTTGCTCATCTTATCAGTCGAACGTCTGTTTCATAAATGAACGAAGATGTGAATGTATGTGAATACATACAAATAGAAGAAAAGAGAACGAAAAAAAAAAATTAATCGATAGAAGGATTCTTGGCGAATTGTCTAGCAAAAACAAATATGAAAAGAACAAGGATGAGAATGTTGACTTGTGCTCCGTTTCTTCTTGTTACAAATCGACATGTTATATTTATTTCACTCGTATTATTTCGCCTTCTTCATCTTATTTTTGTACCCTCCTCGCCATCCTTCGGAAAGAAAAGCGCAGAACTGACAAACGAAGAAGCACAAACTATGAGCAATGATGCCAGTCTACAGCAAGACAGAAAACGGTGTTTAACATTTGTGCATGAGAGTGAAAAGAAGAAGGACAGACAAACAAAGCAGCAAGGAAAAAAACAAGCGAAAATGCAGATCTTTTTCTTCTTCACCTTTCTTCTCTTGTATTCTGGATTTTCAGAAAGTCATGAAAAGAGGAAAAAGAAAAAAAACACGAGAAAGAAACGAACAGAAAAAAGATCGAATATTGCCTTCATATGTTGAGCATTAAAATTGATAGTAACTTAATTGGTTACACTTGTTATTATGCAATCATTGATTAGGAATTTAACAAGATTCGAATGTTGTAATAACGTCAAATACAATAATCCATCACTGATCCTAATTTGACGATGGATATATTATCTTCAGTTGATGATAAACCACAAACGTAATCAAATCAACAACAGAAATGGACAACAAATAATGATTGGCCACGGTATATTATCAATAAGAAAGAAAAATTTCTTTTGATTTATTCTTATTTTAGGTCAACCGATAATCAACAACAACAAAATACAATGGATTCAAGTGGCTTAATCCATTTGATTGCTACTCGTGGTGAGACAAATGTTACTGATAATACTAATAATGAATCAATTGTAAATATTCGAACAGATGATCAAACAAGTGAACAAGCACATGAACAATTACGTGATGAAAACCTTCCAGAAGATCAACATGAACAAGTACCTCTCGTTCCTTTCATCGACATTAATCAAGTCTTTTTTCTTATCCAGATTTACCACATCGTAATGTTATTTGACAAGCAACATTTCATGATGGACGTTTTGTTTATCCATTTTGTACAGATGATTTTGCTTCAAACGAAGGCATACGCTATCATTTATATAATTCATGTACAAAATCCCCATATCTCACAGCATTTCTTCGTTGTCTTATATATGGAAGTGAATTAGCTGATCGAAGTTCATTACGTACACATTTAGCTCGATATATTAGCTAAGCTAATTTATTTTATAAGAGAATCTTTTTTTTTAATTGATATTTTACTTACGGGTGCTGAAGACGGTGGAACTGTATCGACAGATAAAATTGATGCATTACGTAAGCCAGCATTATGAACAAGTGGTGAAACGTCAAATTGAAAAAAAACGAAAAAGAAGATAGATTTCTAATCATCTAACATCACCACAAATAATTAATCCAATGATTGCAATGACATCAAGCATATTACCTCGTGGAATTGATGCGTATAATATTCCACCAACGATGATTAATCAACAAATATCCTTGCTCATAAATCAAGTTTGATTCGAATGATTCTGATCGAAAAATAAAACAGTTTTATTAATTGTTCATTTGATTCAATTCGATTTTTATTTAAGAATAAACGTGATCGTCCGCTTAAAACAAAATCTTAAGGATTAATACCTGTAACTCCTTATACTAAACATCCACATATAAATCTTGCTGGATTATCATTAACTCCAGCAATCAATAATCAAGTTATATTGAATGATCAACATATTAAAGTATATATATTTAACCATTAAAAGCCAAAGGAGGCTTTTCCTAATTGCGTTAGTGGAGTTTCACATCTTCTGTATGCTCAAACAATAATTGTGGAAAAATGAATCTATAGAGATAGAGTGTCACTTTTTGTTCGATTCAAAAATTTACCGTAGTATTTGACACTCATAAGGGAACCTCCCAAGCTGCTAAAATGTTTTTGAGCTTAAATTTCATCTACAAGTAGGGGATATATAGACTAGAAAGATTCTAAGAGAGTATATGGGCGCAAGTTGCAATTTGGTTGAGATATCGACATATTACTGTAATTATCCTGGAGCACTCCACTTTTCCGGTAAAATCAAAGTTTTGACTTTAGACCTGAAGCTTTGCCTGCATCAAGGCATCAGTCAGACTAGCTTGTTTACAATGTTTCAAAGGTTTTAGACAAATTACCTTCGAGACATTACCTTTACAAAATATCCATGCATAACACAATATGTATAGAAAAGCGTCCTTCTGCTAACATACTGAGATCTCGGAGATAATTTATCCAAAATCTTTGAAACTTTGTAGACAAGCTAGTCTGACTGATGCCTTGATGTAGGCAAAGTTTCAGGTCTAAAGTCGAAACTTTGATTTTGCCGGAAAAGTGGAGTGCTCCAGGATAATTACAGTAAAATGTCGATATTTCAACCAAATTACAACTTGCGTCCATATCCTCTACTTGTAGATGAAATTTGAGCTCAAAAGCATTTTAGCACCTGGGAAGACTCTCTCGTAAGAGAAAACCAAAACTATATTGATCATTACAGAGTATCGCGCAGTTGTCGTTGACAATCGTTTAAACAACACAAATGAATATAAATCTTAACGTCAGAATCTCGATCATATGGTCATGAGATTGGAAGTAATGATGGGAATAAGTAAATCTAGTGAATCGCATGCAATACTTTATTGAAATCATTTGTTCCATCTATTATGCATAGAATGGTCTCAGCAATGAGCTAGAATACAGAAATGCAGAATCTATCGCTAAAACAAAAATTTTCCCAAAACGGAGATAAAGCCTAGAAAAAAAATCTCCCTTCTATCAAAATAAATCAAAAGTCAGATTCTCTTTTCATCTTGCACATTCAAAGCAACTGAAAAATAAAATCGATTTATTTCACACACAAAAACTATTTTTTATTATTCATCAATTATTTGAAGTAGTTTTCATTCCAAAAACTAATAGATTCATGAGTTAAACAAAAAAAAACTTCTTAAGTCGAATGCTTAAATGAAAAAAAAAATATTCCTACTTTCAGTAACCTTCTCCAAGTTTGAAATGATATTTTCTCCAACGGGTATTGATATACACAGATAGATTCTATACGTCTGCTAAAATAGCCTTACGTACACATCATAATGACACCATAATCTCTTACGTTGGAAATATTATCTTGTGTCGTGCATCTTGTAAAAGATCTAAGCTGAACTCTTCGTGATAATTTCACTGTTCTTTAATATTTATTTTTAATCTGTATGAGTTTTTGTTTAAATATTCTGTCGTCCAATAAAATTTAAACTCAAATATTTAATATCATACTTAATTCAAATATAACCATACAATGTACAACTGATTGATTCTTTAAGAAAATATCATTTACCTAGCAATGACCTTATCCATGGTTTAGAAGAAAAACAAAAAGAATATCATCAATCTTAATTCCTTATCGTACACTTGATAATTAGAAGTGATTTTATATTTTATCATGTATATGTTTCTGTGTATTATTATGTACATTGATTTGATTGTTGATAAATATCCAAAATGTGCGAAGAAGTATTATTCATATAAGCTTGTATGGGATATGTTATTTTAAAAAACAAAACGGATGTTTAAACTTCTTCCGGCTTGTGTAACATATCCTTGTCTTCTCTATTAATTGTATAGCAGCATTGACATTGTTGATGGCATCCGTAAATGATTGACAAACAGTTTCCCATTTCACATTCAACATCTAAAGAATCGAGAGAGAGCAAGAGAAAAAAAAATTGTCTGTCCCTTTTTTTTCTGTCATAGGTAAGCAAAATATATTGAACGTTTGTCATGTTCAATCAACAAAAGAATAAATGGGAACAAGCACAGAAGAAAAAGAGAGACTACCATTGACTAACGGTGTCATATTTGTCTGATATTTTTCTATCACCCAGTTGCGAAAAGTAGATATTACTTCAGTTAGAGTTTGAGTTTTTCATGCTCTAATCATCAATAAAATAGACAACAATTTATTAAACTAAACAAATGTCAAACATCTTAATATTAAATCATTGGCGTTTTTGTCTTGTTTTTATTTTTCATGGTCAAATTCAAAATGATTGGTAGAAAATTGATTTAGTCTTTTTTTCTCTTTCTCTCTCTCTCCCTTACGTTCATCGTTTATGTGCCCCTCCTTCACACAAGAGATTAAATATTGTCATTAGTCAGTGTTGACGAGTAAAGCAAGCTTTCTTTTTTCTTTTTTCTCTATTATCCATTAATACTAACTAAGAATAAAGAGAGAGGGAGAGAGAGAGAAAGAGAGAACAAAGTAATGGATCAACTGTCTCTTTTTCTTTTCTCGTCGATGAAATAAAAGTTAAACGGTAACAGAAAGAAACGAGACGTTGAACTTTGTCGAACGTGATTCGTTGAGAAGAATATTTGTCGTGTAAGTAAAACGAGCAATCAGCGAACGAAACGACAAGACAGACAAAAGACAACGACTACCGATTGTTTACTTGAACATCATGATGATATGACCGTGTGGTATACACAAATACATTGGCAGACAAAAAAAAACCTGTCTTCGAACCCCGTTTTTTTTCCGATCTTTTTTCCTCAATTAACAAGTACGAATAAGCAATGATTGATATTAACAACGAAGATATGACACAAAATCATACATTTATTCGTCAAATGCATACAAACGATGATACAAATATGACTACAAATGATTTTGACAGGTATGATCGACGTGTTGATGACATTGATATATTAGATAAGGATAGAAGAAAAAAAACACTTTTAATCTATATGTAATAACTTGTAATAAGTTAAATGATGGTTTTATTTAAGAGAAAATTTGAATAAAATAGTTTCAAATGATAGTAGACACGTTTCTTTTTTATGATGCTTCTAACCACAGTTTTAGAAGCGATGATATTAATTATTATGTGAACAGCATAGGATATGTCTCTTAGTTCTAAGTAGAATCCTGCAATCGAATTGGGTATCCGAGGCTCAGATCAAGTCAGCGCTTAGTAGTAACGGAACCTCCACATCGGTTCGAAGTCGAAAAGAAGGTATATTCTTCCTCTACAATATAGGAATATTACTTTTCTGAATCGTATCTGATTATGATTGTCTCTATAATTTTTGATAATTTCATATCTTTTTACTAATGTCCGTTTCATAAAAAAAAGGTGGGTGGGTATTTTTAGAATATCTTTTGATAGCAAGAAGATAGAAAGAAGTGACTTTCATTTTTATTAAAGAGAAGATGAAGACCCATCGAGTTCTATATTACAGGTATTTTCAACGTAACCTTTTTGAAGGCTTTCAATCGACTTTTTTGAAAATTAATGTACTCTGTGAGATGACACTAAAGCAAAATTTCAATGATCATGTGTGAATTCGAGCTGTCAGTCGAAGATCTACAAAACTATGCACGTCTCAGATTTTTATGTTTATTGGTTCAAGAGTTTTAAGTATTTTATCCAAAACTATCAGTCGATTTTTCAAGCAATTGCTGTAAAAAACAAAATCGCTTTTTTTCCTTATTCTATAAGAAACTATTTTAGAAAAACATTTTAGGATACTCTACTATATCATTCGATGCCACATCATCTTCTCTTTCCAATAACGAAAACCACAATGTCCTCTTCTATTTCTGTCAATAGTTATTCAAAAAATACTGCTTTCGTGCCCTCTTCTTGTTTTTTTTACAGTAGATATTCAATCGCGTATTTTTTAATATGACATAAAAAGTTTAGGAACTTTTATGACTGACAAAATTTACTGAGTACAGATTATTACGGACTATCTATTGGGTACAAGTACCCACAACATTTAATTTTGATATGTACAAGAAGAATTGTAACTGTGCGAAATACTACTTTTCAGGCAACCATAGGAATCATGTATTTTACCTAGATGAACAGTCATTTGACAACAACATATTGAACTAAAAGTAGTAGTGTTTATTGATCTACTATGGTTCGAAATATTAGTTACAAAAAAGCAAATTCTAAATTAATTCTTTTTCTTTTAATCGCATTGGACGAAGAAAAAATGAAATACTGAATGTGAATTTAAGATGTTACGAACTTTTTTCTTTGAAATTGCGGAAGAGCAATATTACATGATAGAATAAGTGACACACCTAGAATATTTTTAATTTTTTGAGCTTTATTTTTTATCATTATACTAGATTAGAAAATTGTAATAAGCATATCAATCGCTTGAAGAAATCTTGAGTTTTGGAAAGAATACGAAGAGTTAGGATTTCAAAAACTTTAATTTATAGAACGTTCAAGGTAAATTCTTGGTCTGTTCGAACCAAAATGATGTCTATCAAAAGTAATTATCCTTTTTATAGAGAAGTTTTGATAGAACTTTGTAGCAACAATATACAGAATTTGACAGTAAATCTTTGTCAATATCGATGTTTGTTAAGATGAATAATACATCGTGAGCTTTGTTTCTATTGAACAATAGTAAATCTATCATATTTAACAAATGTGAACAATTTTTTGTTTTTGCCAATCGTGTCACTGTCATTTATCGATAGGTGGGTCCCTCTTCAGGATTTATTGATATGATATACATCAGAACAACATGCGCCATCTCGTTAGATCAGATTACGACGAGCTAACTGAATAAAAATATCATATCTCTATGTAATTTAAAACTTCAAATCATACAACATTATTACACAGAATATTTTTCATTGTATAAACTTTACTTTAAAAAAAAACCTTGAAAAAAAAATAAGGATTTTCTGATGGTTTGAAATGATAAATTTTCAGTTTAACTTCGTTCTATTGAATATCAAAATATGTTACCAAAGGTTAACTCTTTACTCCCGATGAAAGTTCTTGATAGTCTGCACAAGCAAGCTCATTACTTATATGAACTCAAACCATAAAGTTGTCTGTTAAAGGGAAATATAATAAATTGACGACAAATTTAGTAAATGCCATATGACTTATGCCATTAGAATACTTGTTTTATTTTGACTGAAGTGCTATGCATATGATATATTCATAATATAACAATCGAAATGTGTCATGAGTCACATAATCCTCATTAAAATATCTTTAATGTCCTCTAATTTATCTTCTTGTTTATCAAAATCAATATTAAAAGTTCAAAAAATTTCGTTTACAAAAAAAAACTCATTTTCATGTTACCATCCCCCTGATGTCCACACGCTTCAATATAACAGTTTCATGAGTACGCTGATCACCCAATCGAGGGAGTGTAACATTCTCGCCCCCCCCCCCCCATCGTGAAAAATTTGTATGTTTTTAGCAGAGCTAAAATGTTCTTTTGACATACTTTTGCTAGAACAAAGATATTCTCCCTTTGAAAAAAATCACGACACTACAATGTTGAATGTTTCGAGTAACTACTACATGAGTATTGTAATCGAGTTACTTCCTCATCATTTTTATAAAATATTTTACGTAATTGATGGGTACCTAGTCTATATAGATATCAGTACTAAAATCAAAGAACAATTCAAAACTTTAATTTAAAAAAATATTCAACATCTAAAAAATCTACACTTTAAATTTACTAATCTCAAGTAGAACCTCGTTGAAAGAAAACTTTTATGAAATTCTTTGCGACAATATTGAGTTAGTTTGCTATCGAACATTCTGATTCTATTCAATAGTGATTATACCAATGTTTACGATTGTCGAAAGTCAAGTTTTACAGTATAATAAAGAATTAAATTATCTTTTTTCTTTCAAATTATTCTTCTAGTTCTAAAAAGCTTTAATTTGTATGAATAATTCCATATCTTCTTTGATCTGACATTGAGCCAATGACTTCTCAAAATTCAAAGATCATTTTTTTTTTATTGACAAAAAATTTTGTTTTTTATTTATCTTTTAAAATAAAACTTTATAATCAATCAATATTCACTATTAATTATGAACCAAAACAAGAACTCAAACATATTCCATTTGATATGAGCACTTTCATAGCATCTTTTTATATATGTTACTATCGAACAAAATAATTCACATGCAAATTTCAAACCTTAGAATCATCTCATCATAATAATGATGATAATAGAAATTGAGTATTTTGTTCAACATACATTTCATATATATATATTGCTTGCTTATAAATTTAATAATAATGTTGACTTTTTTCTTTGTCAATGACTAACTCGATTAATCAATGTCCTCTTGTCATCGAAAGTTCCATATTTACTTTTCATCGTTTCTATCCAGGTAGCTCTCTCTCTTCGTTCGTTTTTTCAATTGACAAACATTCTCTGATGTGTTAATGTCAAAAAAAAAAAAACTAAGAATTAACAATATATGCAAAATACTCTTTACTTCATATCTTATAATGTCTCTTATAGAGCAAAAAAACAAGAACACGGTTTTATATGTTCTTTTCTTTGTTTCTTCGTTTGATAAAATTTGTTACAAGTAATTCAATAAAAGAAGTTTGTTAAGAGATTGAACTACTATTACTACTACCGCTTTTCTTTTTATATATATGAACCTGTTGATTATATACCGTGCTAATCTCATTCTAATTCCTTTTATTCTTGTTCGATATGATATATACATTCGATTGAAGTGAGAAAAGTTAACATATAACATAGATCTTTTTTTGTCTTTTCTTTTTATTTCTTTTTATATTAGACAAATCAATCAAGAATAGTAGAGAGATAGAGCAGGCAAATAAACTATTCGTCTTCATATACAACTTATCAGAAAAAAAGAAAATGTCGAGATTTGGTCACGCTCAAATGATAAAGATATTCAATTTCTAAGGTCAATCACATTTAAAGTATTGCTTCGGCTTATTAGATCCTAAATAGAATACGATAAATTTATCTTAGAAAATTTTTTTTACCGATCAATCTAGCGGATTATGAAGATCTGTTTTTTTTTCTTGTGCGTAACTTTTGGTATATTATAAGAATTGTAGAAGAAACGAGAAGAAAAAAAAAATAAGAAGATGAAGAAGAAGAAGAATCTACTCAGCGAATAGAAATACGAGTGTGGGTGTACACAACGGACATCTTCTTATTGATGAATGAAAAAAAGAAGAAGAAGAAAAAGAGAAAGAGAGACGTTTCTCATATGTGTTATAAGCATAGCAGCAACACATCAGCGGATTAATAAACCGTTGTTGTTGTTGTGCTTGTTTTTATTAATTATTTACTATTTTATCACAAGTAAGCTTTTTTTTTTTATTTGTAATATTAACAAGACGATGCTGTTTTTTTTTTCGATATAAAATTGAACTAATTAATAGATAATGTTGATGAGATGATTACCGCTTTGAAATAAAAATAGAAAATGATTTGTATAGATGCGCGTGTCAAATGAGATGGATGCGTTAAGTAGGATCTAGGATTTTTTTTTAAGTTAACAATGCTAATTTGTTTCCTGTTGTCTCTCGTTTTTTTTTCCTCATTTGACGAATTTCTCATTACTAGAGAAATCCATTCGATAGATGACACAATGAAAAAAATCGGCACGATTTCATAGGTAAAGTAAAAAAAGAAAGAAACGTGTGTATGTGTGTGTATGTTCATAGACAATTGAAAATTAATTAGAAAGTCATAAATTTAATATGATCTTTTTATGTTTATGCGTATATATATATTTTGTTTTTTTGTTATTTTTATTTTTATCTATTTTGCTTTTCTTTAAGAATTGAAGCAATGAAAGAAAAATCAAAGAATGCAGCACGAAGTCGACGTGAAAAAGAAAATGCGGAATTTTTTGAATTGGCAAAACTTTTACCATTACCACATGCAATTACTGATCAATTGGATAAAGCATCTGTTATACGTCTTACAACAAGTTATCTTAAAATGCGTGCTATTATACCCGAAGGTAAATCTAATGATCTATAACAAATCATCATATCCTATCCCGCTAAGATGACGTCATTGACACAATATTGAGAAATTTAACATGTTCATTTATCAAATAATGTTATAGTTCATTTGAAAATTGATATGAGATATATTATAAAAATAAGAAGAATTGAGATTTTTTTCGAATTTTTATTCTTTTATATAAATTGAAAGGAACAAAAAAAAAGGAACAATTAAAATAGCATGAGTTTGTTTGCTGTACATGACAATTTTATCCGAGTCGTTTTATATTAAAAAATAAAAGAAGAAGAAGAAGAAGAAGAAATCGCATTGGTTCTAAGAATTTTTTCTTTTCTTCTTCTCTATTCTCTTTACATTGACTTTGATCAGCTTAGTTTGAAAATGAATCTCTTATTCCATCCGGATGTTTTTTCCCGGTAACAGTCTCATCACTTGCATTTCATATTTACAACAGGAATTCAATAAAAAATCACACATAGATGATGAGCTTTTTCGTTACCGCTACAGATATGATTGAAATGGAAATCGATTTTTGTTCAATTCAACATTGAAAAGAAATATATCTAACACTAATTTTCATGTCAATCACTTTCTCAGTTTCTATAGGACTAGGAGCACAATGCGCCCTAATTTTGAAAATTTTTCACACAACCTTTCTTTTTCCGAGTCTCTGTCACCAGTGTCAAATTACACAATCTTAGAATAAAAGATCTTTTCAAAATCAATTCCAAGATTCAATCTTATGTTGTCTGTCCTATTAAAATTAGATTTGTACTTATTGTTAATCAAGAGCGATGGTGAAGCCAACACTTTCTCTTGAGATCAAAACAAAAAGTAAACAAACATTCATTTACTTTTCTTCATTTCATAAGACAAAAAAAAACGTGTTCTACTTTCTTTTTAAATATACTCTGATACCCATATGTACTTTAGATTCACACTTTTTTTTTCTCTTAAAAAGAAAAGAACCTTCAAGTGTGAACACTAGGAAATGTCAAAAACTAGAGTTCTTTATTAATTGATATGCACTTAATTTCATTTTTCTTAAGACATTTTTTTCTGACTATATCAGGGGTGTCCCGAGGTTGCCAGGGTTTGGAAGCGGGGGAGTGAGGTGATGTTTGTTAAAGTTGACCGGATTTTGAGAATCAATGAGTGAAAAAACATTGCAAATCTTCTCGAGAAAAAAAAAAGTTACCTCTGGGCTGTATTAAAATAATTGATAAGATTGTGCACCATTATTTATTAAATTATAAAACTCATCGAAAAGAACAAATCTTTCAATAAAAAAAATCTAGTACTCATATATATATATATATATATTTTAAGGACTTGGTAGTACATGGGGTTCACGTTCACTAACTCAAACAGCAATTGAGCGTGAAGTTAATTCTCAATTAGCACAAGTTTGTAAAACAATACATTAATAACTTGATATAATAATGTTACGTTTTGTTGTTTTCATTTTTAATTCTATTAGATTCTCGATGGTTTTCTATTTGTTGTTGGTCCTGATGGTAAAATAATGTATATATCTGAAACAGCTTCAACACATTTAGGTTTATCACAAGTTGAATTGACAGGAAATTCTATTTATGAATATATTCATCCAATTGATCATGAAGAAATGGCTGCTGTATTAACAGCACCATTACCAACATATAGTCAAACATTATGTTCAAATAGTGAATATGAAATAGAACGCTCATTTTTTATACGTATGAAATGTGTTTTGGCTAAACGCAATGCTGGTTTAACAGCAAGTGGTTTTAAAGTAATACATTGTTGTGGTTATTTAAAAGTTAAACAATTTAATCTTGATACATTATCATATTATGGTTCAACAAATAATTTAAATAATAATACTGAAAATTGTTATCAAAATGTTGGTCTTGTTGCATATGGTTATTCATTACCAAGTTGTTCAATAACAGAAATACGTCTTTATTCAAATATGTTTATGTTTCGTGCTGGACAAGATTTAAAATTATTATTTCTGGATTCCAGGTATGTTGTCTTTTTTTATTTTCTTATGAAAGAAAATTTAATTTTTTATTGACTTTATTAGAGTATCACAAATAACTGGTTATGAACCACAAGATCTTGTTGATAGAACTTTGTATCATTATGTACATACACAAGATTTAATGGCACTAAGATGGGCTCATCAAGTTTGTAAGTAACAATTTTGAATTTATAATTATATATGGTCTATTAAATATTCATATATAGAAAAATGAAATGACATTAAAATACTAGATTTTATTGAAGGAAAGAATAAAATATTTTTGAAATTTATATAGTTTTCAAGTTGAAATTGATAACCCATTAGGATTCAATTTCAATTGATCAATCATTTTCTCATAACAAAAAAACACTACTGAATTGAAAGTTATCGAAGATGTTAACTTCTAATATGAGCATAAAAAATACTAAAAAAAATTGTGACAAATTTTTCTTTGATTTGCCTAGGTTATAGAGCATATGGAATAGCCTAGAAAACAGTAACTTCCTCTCGTTGAACACAATTTATTTTTGGATAAAATACAATGATTTTAATTCATACAACAGACACATATCAGTACAGTATACATTCTTTATCGTGAATGTCCAAGGGACCTTTATAAAGTGTGTCCCGTCTTCTTTCTTTCAATTTCGATGATACTCTCCTGAAATAATTAGTGATAAAACTGTTTTTGAACATTTTCTAGTCAAAATAGATGTAAGTTATGTCGGTATGATATTTGTCGACGAAGATTCGTGAATTCTTCTCACTTCATGAGTAGATAAATAAACAATTTTCCAATTTTTCCTGTTCTATCTTCTTTTGATTGTGTTTTTGTCGCAGAGCATGGCGCATACTAACATAGGCAATACGTATCTACATGCACAACTCTATTCAAAAGAAATAACTTAGAAAAAGAACAGTATCGAGACTATAAATCTTGATTTTTAATATCAAAATTCGGTTGTATCGGGCACGCGAGCTTCTATTCCAGATTTTCATATTCTGAACATTTGATTCCAAATATCTAGACAATATCAAAAAAGATGCTGTGACATTAGACAACTGTTCATTTTGAAGAGATTTCTGAATAGTCTAAATATTTTTGAAACAACGATTAGTCCATTGAAAACATCTGCTCATCACAGAAAAGCATTCTTACAAATCATCATTCGTTTTTATCTTTTCGATCCGACACTGTAATAAAAAGAATCATAATAGCAAAAGATTTCTAACTAAAAACTCAAATTATTGAAAATAAATAAAGCGTGATTAGTACAAAAGTTACATGTAATTTTCTAGTTCTATAACCAGGAGATTGTGAATGGTAGAAGTAATGCACTAAGATTTTACAACAAATCCATGAAATATAATATTAGTGACGATAATTATTAGTTTTTTCTTTCTTCTGATGACAGGAAAGCGCCTGTCCTCGCTCACCCTTGGTTATGCCACTTTAATTCACCTAGATTAAACAAATTACGCATCAGATAAAAATATCTTTAATGAGTGTTTATTTCTTTTACTTGATAGAGTAGTACATGTTGTGCTTATAGAAAACAAAAAAGAATTATGGATAAATGATTATTGTTCATTTTAATATATCTTTTTTTCTAAATTATCAATTTTCAAATTCATGCAAAAGTTTAAAAGTGAATCATTTTCTTACATAATATCAAACAAAACAAATATTAGAAAGAAAAATAAAATTACTTGTTTATTCATCTTTCATTTAACATTGATTCTTTAGAAGGTTCATTCTCTTGAATAAGTTCTTTTAGCATAGACATTTGTAAAAATGTTGATTCTTTCAGCTGAATACGAATTAATTAAAAAGTAATTAGCCAATATTTCTCTCACCATATGAGAGAAAAATTCAGGATAGACTTTTTACAGCATGAACTATATCTATAATGAAATTTTCCGCAAGATCTAACTTCGAGAAGCTTTCTATTGAAATCTGGTTTTCTAGAGATTCTGAAGAAGGATTTTTTTACCGCTTCAAGTTAGATTCGAACTTCTCATTTGGTTATAGGAGCATTTTTTTCGTACTCCATCACGCTGCTAACTCTAGTTTTTTTTTATTGATAATTCTTTTGAACCAAGAGGTCTCTAGCACCGATTTGTTTCAGGGCATCTCGAGTAATTTAACATACATACAACATGCACATATCTTAATTATGTGAAGTTGCATCACTAATGAATAATTTTAGCTACTCTAGTTCTTTTGTCAATTGAAAAGCGAAAGATAATCATTATTTCATGAACATTAATTATTAATTTTTTAGTACTTACTAAAGGACAAGTGACAACTCGATATTATCGTTTCTTAGCAAGAAATGGTGGTTGGATATGGAGTAAGTATTATGATTATTTTAAATTTAAATATCAATATTTAATTTATTTTTATTGTTATTTTTTAGTACAAAGTTATGCAACACTTGTTCATAATAGTCGATCTTCACGACCGGAAGTTATTGTTAGTGTCAATCATGCATTAAGGTAAATTATTATTATTTTTTCTTTATATTATTAATTTAATTTAATTTTTGTTTTAATTTCAAGTGATATTGAAGCTAAACATTTACAATTGTCAATTGATCAAGTTGAAAAAACTCCGTCAGATTATATACGTTCAACACAAGCATTAGCAACATTAGCAGCTAATTCAGGTGACAATGATAAATGTTCATCAACAAATACAAGTTTAAATTCATCATCATCATCATCAATATCAAATAGAAATTCAACAAATAAAATTCTTAAAACAAATCGTTCTATAAAACAACGTAAATTATCACCAAAATCAATAACAAAAAATGAAATAATATTATCACCAACAATCAATGATGATTATTCATCAACAACAGCAACACCAGGTATATGCTATACTCATGATGATATTTATTATTACAATTCTCATCATCATCATCATCATCATTCTCAAACAAATCCAAATTTTTCACTTTATACATCTTCAACTAATTATTCAAATCCAGCATGTTTTTCAACATATTCAAATCTAGATGATGATCATAATAAATCTTCATCACCTTATTCTTCATTACCAATATATAATTCAATGTACTATGATCAACAACCATCAAATGACTATAATTTATTAGCATCTAAAATGATTCCTTCGAAACCACCACTACCACCACCACCACCAACACAACAGCAACAGCATCAAGTGATGTTAAATAAAAAGAAACAATTTTTACCTATACCACTATCATCACAACAACAGCAACAGAATAATAAACGTGGCCCTTCATGCGAAACATTAACATTATGTGATGTAAATAATAAAAGAATTCGCCTTGATAATGAATCTCATCATCATTTATCTCATATTGATTATGAAACAAATCTAACGTCTGATAAAATTGATTTATATCCATCAGCGAATAATTGTTATGCATCAACAAATTATCCAACGGAACATCCGTATCATCATACGTCGGTGATTGTCGACAGTCAACAGTATTTTCTCAATGGATGGAATGGAGCTGCTGCTTTCTAACCAAATCATCTAAAGTATTTTTAGTCAATGTTGTCTGTTGTTGTTATTTTTCGTGTATGTGTGTGCTCATGTCTGTCTGTCTGTACGTTATTATCTCTGATTGTGCTTTCGTTCAAAGAAAGACAAATGTACCAATAAGCAATTTATATTTTATTCATTTTTTTTTCATCAATGAAATATGGAGATTAATTTAATTAAAATTTGTATACGATGTAATCAGACCATAGGATTAGAAAAGAAAAGACCGTAAGGAAAAACATAGGACCTATGCATTGACTTGAAGACCAAGTCTCAGTTACATGCCTTATTTAGAATAGCTCCTAATGGATAAAGAACTGTTCATGTGAACGTTGATTTTTTCTTCTATGCATTTTTATTTCTTGTAAATCATTTTGTGGAATTCATTTTTTATTTTTCGAAGAAAAATATGGTGAGTGTTAGCTTTAAATCGTGGTTTTGTGGCTCCTCCCTCTCCCAGTAACGGGGAATGAGAAGAATGAATAAAAGCCAACGTTCATTGGATACGTTTGTGCATAGTAACTGAAGACAATGTGCGTCAAACTTCTTTTTCAGAGTTTCGTTGCAACGGAAAAAAGCGCTGAAAGATGAATGTGTAGAATAATTGAAATCAGACCGACCTATCTTTTGACGGTGAAAAGACTAGTTCAATCTTCTAATCTCAACTTTTGCTTTTCAGCAATCATTTTCTTACCGAAGCAATTGAACTTATAATTTTCATTAATGTGTTTAATAAAATAATGATGAAAGGAAAACCAAAAGGAACTTCTTCCTTTGACACAATAATTGAAAAACAAAAAAACAAAAACGAAAACGGTGGTTGACCTCAAAAAAAAAAGAAAAGAAGACTTAACTTCGAAATCCAAAGAAAATTGTTTTGGATTATAAATTAAAAGATGAATTGCTTGAATTTACCGTATTTTGTACTGATACTTTGAAACAATGATCTATTTGTTAACATCATATGATTACACGTAAGTAAAGTTAGCATTGATTATTCTCTATCGAATGATACTGTTTTAACTAGGTATCGAGTGTGAAAAGATCCACACCGATCTAAATTTTATTACCTATTTTTTATTTAATTTTTTGAATTGTTAATGCTGTTCTTTTGATTCAAAACAAAATCATTTAGTTTGAACACTTTTATTTGAATAAATCGTTTTTGCATAACAGTAAAATGGGATAAGTTTAATTTCTCGTGGAACTCTCCTTCATTAGGCAAGATTCGGTCTACATGTATCTTTCCAGAAAGTCAATATCTGTTTTTCAGACAGAAGTTTTATACTGAAGTATATGTATAAAAAAACCTTTACAAATGGTCAAGAAAAAAAAAGAGAATCTGGAAAGAATAAGAGCAAAAACATCAATCAGAGGAGAAAATTTAACAAACACACGACTTTTTGCCCGTTTTTGGGATGCAAATGAATAAGATGTTGAATAATCGACAAAAAGTTCCAATTTTTGTTCAAAATATCTAAACTTTCGGTATATCGTTTTTGCTTAGGTACTAGTCTGTTTGGTTTTTTAATGTATTGTTTTATATTTATACTAAAAATGTTTGTCTTTATTTTCTAATTTTTGAATGTTGAAATAAATACATGCTTCTTGTTTTTTATGCATATTTCATTATTTTTTTGTCATTGATATTCATGATAAGCAAAAAAATAATCGGTTGCCTATCGTCATTATCAAAAGAGATGTTCGTACTTTATATCGTTAACAAATATCAAGCATCCATACTTGTCTGAAACATATTGAATTCTTGTGTATATTTCACTATTGCCTATTTTATGAGATTCTTCATAAAGTTCTGCATCTATTGATGTAGGCCTTAAAAATTGAAAAAAACCTGCAAATTCATTATACATCACATTGATACAGTGAAAACGTTTTGATTATAATGATTCTGTAATTGTTTTTCATTAGATTAAGTTTCAATCGATGATAAAATACAAATAGTTACACAAAAAACTCTTAATCTTATTATAATGATTTTATCAGCGACAATGGCAATTTAGTAATTAGAAGTCATTCATCTCATGATTGTAGGAAGATTCTGTACTCTCTCCATAATCCATTGAAGTTTGCTTTCTTTCCCTTTTTTATTATATGATGAGAAGCATAATTGATTGAAATGTTCACATAGGAAAATAACCTTGAGTGTTGGCAAAATGAGAATTGACATGAAAGTACGGTTTCAATCGTATTAGAGAATCAATCTAAATTTATATCAAATAATCAAATGGTTACTATTTTTTTGGAAGATTTTGAAACTAGTCTAAGTTTTTCTCATCTTTTTATAATATTAGATAGAATGTTCTTATTCAACTATGTCACGAAAAATTTTCTTGTCTATTATTTTCAACAATCTGTCTAAGTAAATCTCTCTTCCAATCAAAAACTACTATATAGTTTCATCTACACCTCATTAAACAGATGTGATATTGTGAGTCACCCTCTGTTTGGCAGAGAATGTTCAATAGCTATTATATGATATCATTGAATTTCCTAATTTAAATTCTACGTTCTTTGAATAATTCAAATCGATTGATCTTATTTTGAAATTTTCAGACAATTTGAACGAAATATACAACGTATTCTTTTGAGAACAATACTTGTGAAATGAAAGTAAGGACCAATCTTCATGTTTATTCTAATATCATTATTGTGTCGAACGATTTATAGATTTGAACTGAATAAATTGTTTTCATCTTATATCATTGAAAAAAGCTGAGTCTCTTATTCTAAAGACAATTTTTGTCTTCTTTCAAGCAAACTTATGAAGCCCTTATACATCAATGATCTTAGCAGGAATAAAACGAACATATCTGTTTCACGATGAACAATTGAAATTTTGTAGAAAACTTCAAATATTACTACATAGACGGTACCTAAATGATCAACAATCACTTCGCAGGGACTAGACAATTGAGCAAGACTATTTCTAAGACTTTGGCTGCCAGCAACGACAATCCGTTCTGTTTCATTTTTCATCTATCTCTTCACACGATGATTGTTCTTATGCGATACACACACTGGATAACCTTGATGAACAAAGACATACTTAGGATTATCGAATTGGTTGAGACGATTACCTTACCCATGACCACCTGCGATTAGTGTTCCATAAGTATCTCCTATTCTTCATCGTCTTACCTCATGTTTCGTACAGTCAGAAATATAGAAATAACCATTGTGGTTCGTTTCCAGTTCGTAGTATTCAACATTGGAAATGAGTGTTCTTATACTTATGCCATTTCGATGAGGCTATCTCACCATTCATCTTTTTCCTAAATTGCAGATAAGAAGACTATATTTCTTTTTATCAAGAATCACATCTGTTGAATTAGATAACTGATCACTTTAATTTCTTGCTCCATATCTGTCTGTCACGAGTTGGCCATTGGTTGTACCATATTTCTATTCTATAATGTGATGATTAGAAGAGTGAGCGATATTGATGGTTTGTTCATCGTCATCAATACATATATTATATGGTCAATAAAACTGATTTCACCCGTTTCCTTTTTGATTACCTCCAGTAATTGTGATACTATTTTGTAACCAATTTATGTTGGGTTTAATTTTTGTCATGCATGACAATACTACATGTGACAAAATTTTATGATGATAAAAACTTTATCTGATTTCTTGGCAGTCAACTTCGATACAATTGTAAAAAAAAAATTTATTTTAAATAAGAATGTTACTTTGGTGAAAATGGATTGTATTCTGTTTCTACGGTCAAATACCTAATGTTAATAGTTTTCTTCCTATTCAATTTATAATTGAACTCGGCTATTTTCGATTATCGAACGTAATTTAATTTACTTTTTCCCTCAACTTCTTCGAATTAATTGTGCGGAAAAAATTCCATTGATTTTTATTTCATAAAAATCATTCTTGTTGAAGTTTTGATAGGTCAAAAGCGCGTTAAAATGTCGAAAGACAATCAATTGAGTAGTCAGAATGAAATATACAGAGTATGTTTTTTTAATTATCGGGCGTTATGAAAAAATTGCTTGAACAGTTTTCGATAGAAATAGACCCAATGTCAGAATTCGCTCAGTCGACATGAATCAACCAAACATAGTAGTTGAGTGAAGTTTGCCGGGTCGGTCCGGGATCTGATTGGGTTCAGGTGTGAAAATTTTGTAGCCGACGGATTTTAGGCGTCTGATAACTCTGTAGAGTACGCTGGTGACAAAACACAAAAATCGGAAAAAAGTATGTCGTATCTCCTGGGTCAATATCCAATTCCGATTAGAAAATTTCATTGACATCTGTAATACAGTGTTTCTATCTGCATGAAAAAAAAAACAAATAATGCTATGCTATGTGATTTAAGAAGTCAAAAAATATATGAAATATGTACTTCTGAGGTTTCCAGTCATATTCTAGATCGAAATCGGCATATTCTCGTAGATCTGTGGAACAGTATCGATACTATCTACCTAGGGAAAAAAAGCGATCATTCCCTGTGTTTGTTTCCGATAATAGAGAGTGAATTTTAAGCAATTTTCTGAAACACTGGTCTTTCGAGATTTTGGAAATTGGCTTTTGCTTTTGATAAGATGTGTTAAGATCATGGTTGCAGTCTAGTGAAAGTCGCAGAACTCTCTATATCTTCTAGCAAAAGTTTATTCAAAAAAAAAACCATTCACATTGTGTTTTGAATCACCGATAGCCACTGCCAACGGATATGAATATTCCCCAGTTAAATACACTTGTGGAATATCAAAAGTTCCATTACCATATCCAAGGAAAACACCTGCAAAACCTTCCTCTGTGGTAGCAACAACAAGATCCAGGTGACTATCATTATTCAAATCAACAAGACTGACGAAACTTGGACCAGAATAAGTACCAGTATAGCAGGGTATTGCGTCAGAAAAAGTTCCATCACTATGTCCCAGAAGAATACCCACATAGTCAGAAGAGCTATCAGTCATGACAACATTCAACTGGCCATCATTGTTGACATAGCCAACAGCAACTGATTACGGATCAATAATAATATCAGTAAAGTAGGTCATTGCGTTAGCAAAAGTCCCATTGCCATGTCCAAGACGAATACCTAAACCGCCAGATCTGCGATTTGCAGTAGCAATATCTAATCGACTATCATTATTAAAGTCTCTAACAGCCACTGACCACGGTGTACAACCGTGACCCATAGAGTAAGTTGTTACATTAGAAAATGTTCCATTGTCTTGGGCACGAAGAATACCTACACTATCAGATCCATAATTAGCTGTGACAATATCCATTCGATTGTCGTTGTTAAAGTCACCAATACAAAGATAAATTGGAGCTGATCTATATCCCATTGAAAATGTTGCTGCTCGCTGAAAAATTCCATCAGCATTACCAGTTAGCATAAGTAAACTGTCATCATTGAAATTATTAACCAATAAATCTAAGCGATCATCGTCATTGAAGTCATAAATAACGACTGAAGACGGGCGGGAGTCTTTTCCAACAATATAATCCGTTTTGTCTTGCTGATGGTGTCATAACATATTGACTAAGTACAAGTATATTATTAGCACCATAGTTGGCTATAGCAATATCTACTTGGTTGTCATCATCAAAGTAAGCCACAGCAATAAAGAATGGATAAGATCCTTTTATTCCTTCATATGTAGTTTTCATACCAAATTTTCCATTCTCGTATTGTAGAAGAATAAATACTCGATCGTTTTCTGAATCAGCAACAGCAACATCTAATTGTTTGTTCGCGTCAAAATCACCAACAGTCATATAATTTGGACGACAATCGGGGTCTATTGAGAATATAGTTTGTGCTGCAAATATACCATTCTCATGGCCAAGAAATATTCCAATCTTTGCCAGTAGCATAATTTGTGACTATAATATCAAGATAATAATCATTATTTAAATCTCTAACAGCGATAGAAGATGGCTTCGAGTTCAGAGTAGTTGTATAAGTTTTTTGACCTGTAAATGTTCCATTATCATATCCAAAAAAAATACCAATATTGTCAGTACCATAATTAGCCACAACAATGTCTAGTTGATTATCTTTGTTGAAATCACCAACCACTAATGCAATTGGAAGAGAACCATAACCAGTAGAATAAGTTATTTGATCTTGAAAAGACCCATTACCATTTCCAAGAAGAATACCAATAGTATTAGTAGCATTGTCTACTACAACAATATCTGTTTGATTA